ATAATGAATAACCATACCAGCAAATTATTTAAATTAAGGAATTAGTTTACTAACAAAAACAAAAGGATCTTTTGCCGCATGATGAACAACAAAAAACACAGAAAAAGCTTTAATCTTTAAACTTTAACTAAAACAGATGAAAAAGGGGCAGAAGAGGCTTTACCTTCTTGAGTGGTTGAAAGTTCTACGAATTTCGATTGGATCTTTGGAGAAAAACATCGCAATTATTGGAGATAACTATCAAACCAAATATTTTTTTTATTATTATATGTATGAGCTTTTGTTTTCTGGAATTTTGGAGAGGTGTCGGTGGCCATGGAAGATGGGATGAGCTTTTGTTTTGTGGAATTTTGGGGAGGTGTCGGTGGCCATGGGAGATGGATGACGATTTAGGGTTCGGGAATAGTGGATTTCTTTTTTTTTTTTTTCCTGTTAACTTTTTGTTGTGTTTTTAGTCGATTACTTTAATTCGTTGTGAATTACGTAGATTTTGATAAGTTTGTAGTGGATTACATCAATATTAATGTGCATTGCTTTAATGTCATAGTGAATTTAACGGTATATTCATAGTGGTTTTCGATAATTTCATAGTGGTTTTCGAAAATATACATAGTGGTTTTCATGTTTATATAATTGTTTATACATAGTGGTTTTTATATTTATAATTGTGTATACATAGTGGTTTTCGTGTTTATAGAGCTGTTTTTATACAGAGCGGTTTTCATGTTTATATAGTTGTTTATACAGATATAGTTGTGTATACATAGTGGTTTTCATGTTTATATAGTTGTTTTTATACATAGTGATTATCATGTTTATATAGCTGTTTATACAGAGTGATTTTCATGTTTATCTAAAGTGGATTTTAATTTAAAAAAGCTAGAAACAAAATAAAAAAAAACATTTTTAAAAAAATTCGAAATTAAGAAAAAAGAAAAACAATGAAAAAACGAATAAAAATAAAACTATTTTTTAAATTAAAATAAAAAAACATGAAAAATATAAATAAGAAAACAATAATTTAAAATAAAAAACCAAAAAAAATATAATAAAATAATTATAAAATTTTCTTTTAAATCGAAATAAAGAAAACCATTAAACAAAATAAAGAAGAAAAGGAAAAAAAAAAAGAAAAACTGAATTGGCGTGATGAAGGGAATAATTTTTGGAGAACATTTGGGTGTAGATTATGGGTATAATTTTTTTTAATTAAATAATTATACTAATTAATAGTTAGTGGGGGCATATATGGTTATTGAGGCCCATTGTATTTATCTCAAATATCATTTATAAATAAAGGATTGATCAAGAATTAAAATCCCAATGAAGGGTGTTTGGCATATAGCCCCTATATGAAAAGATGATCTTTGTTCTCAATGATTAACATATGGCAAATGTTGATGCCATACCTACAAATTGCTTAGCTGGAGTTCAATTGATTATGTGGCATCTCAAATTGATTAGTTGGCTTTTCATGTTTGGTATTATTTAAGTTATTTCTTATTTAATATTTGCATAATCATCTAAACAGTACCATATATGCATATGTTCGTTAATGCATTTAATCTATATATAAATTCGAAAAAATATTTATCTTATTTATACTTTTAATTGTCGAAATATATTTGTTTGAATGTCCATTTTTTATGAATATTCAATTAAATTCAGCATTTTTTTTCATCGTAATAATCGACTAATTTGAATAATAAAATACATTTTTTTCGTAACTATAGAATTTCGGAATATCCATTCAATAAATTATATTTTTTTAAATACAACATATAAATATTTTTATTATTTCATTTTATAAAATAGTTTGTATACTCTCTCATAAGAACCGTCTTATATTATCCATTAGAGTGAATTCTTTGTACACATTATTTGCTATAAAATACTTGTGATTGTGTGTACATATAAATAATTTTGTTTTCCAGGTTTTTATTTTATTTTTTTTATAAACTTTGTTGAGAACTTTAATACCTGGTTTTTAACTAACAAATATTATTACTTGGATATTTATCTTGAGAAAGGTAGATTTTTGAAGTAATTGAATTTTTCACTTAATATAATTATTTTAACTAAAATATAATGTATTTTCATTTTTAAATGTACGAATTTCTAGAAAAAGACAAATTATACAAAATTTGACTTTAATGGGACTTTAATCAATTAAAATTGAATGTTTTTACTAATTTAAATATTGATTACACTTGCCAAATTAAAATTGTACATTTGGAGTAACTATAATCAATATGGTAAATCAAAATTTCGTATACATCAAATTATGTATTTCAGGCATTAATCAATCATACATTAATTAGTTTCCATTTTTATTGTATCCCCAAGATCATGGAATATGATAACAAATTAACTATCAAATAAATAAATCAATAAGTCTCAAAAGTCTATAAATTTTTAAAACACACTGCAAATTGTTTCATTCGAAAACTATGAATACATACTTAAAACATATTTCGCGTAATTTATTATGATATATGTATATAATTAATTCATGAGAAAGAATATGTGGAATTTAAAATAAAGTGCCTTTATATACGTCATAAATTTTATACATTATTTTATACATTGTTAGATATAATATTAATCGTAAAATTTCGAAATTTACCAACGAATATAAGAATATATAAATATGTATGTCTATTAATAAATTGACACAAGCATGAATTATGTTTCTTTATGGTTTATGTAATAAAACTAATACGGAAAATAAAAAGTACGTACAAAATAAATGGCAATGTACAACTCAAATAGAAAATATTTTTTACATATGTTGGTAAACAAAATTGTATATTCAATAAAACATCAAAACTAAACATTAAGAACAAATAAAAATAAAAGTATTAAAGCAAGCACAAATCCAATTTTTCTTTAATGTTATGAGAAAAGACAATGAAATACTAATTAAGTAAGAATAAACAAATCTTTAATGTTATGAGAAAAGACAAGGATCATTATTGTCATTCACACTCATACATGGCTACATTTACATATTAGAACGAATAAACTTTAAATATTTGTTATCAAAACATAAAAAAGATAATTAATTCAAAAAATATTGATTTTAATATCTCATTCAACTGATAACATTTGGTGAAATAAGAAGTACGTAGTAGTATCATCATTCATAATTTATGGACATTATACGCAGTTTTCAAGATTAGTATTGGAAACTTTAAACAAAACATTTTGATCAGTTAAAACATCAAAACTCACATGATATTCTCGAGGATCTTCACTCTTAACAATAACCACGATGAAAATAAATATTTACGAAAATGTCGTAGCATGTAGCTTCTCGCATGATATACAACGTCGCAAGGCTGCAACTTGTGAGTGTTGTTCATATATCTACAAATGGTGCAAATTTAGACCGGATGGTCTATTTTAATAGGAAAATCGGATGTCATACGATGATTCACACGTGGATAGTTTAAATAAAAATATAATTAAGATTCTAATAATTGGAAGAAAAAAAAGAAAAAAAAAAAGAAAACCCCAGCAGAATCCATAACCCTAATTATAATCCGCGTGTTTTATTAAGAGTTTAGAATTAAGAGTGCCACATGTCAAAAAATTAGTGGAATCCGATTTATATTAAATATCGACTGATCCGTTCAGAATTTAATCTCATCTACAAAAACCAAATCAATCTAAAATTAAAATGCGATATAAAAAAATATATGCGTAAATAAACAGATTCAAATCATTATATGAAAACAATGATTTAAAAGACATTTAAACATTAATAATATATAAAAAAATGAAAGACAGACGCAAAACAAATGAAGAATTTCTTTTTGGCAAAATATATAAATCCTAATAGAAAAACAGGCGAAAGATGGATGGATAGGAAAACGGGGAGGAAGGTGGGTATATTTAATATTTATACTTGTGAATACTATATCATTAAGGAAATATAGATTTAATATAATAATTTTATACAAAAGTGTAATATATTTCGCAAGTGATTGATATTCTAAAAAAATGATTTTTTTTTTTATTTACTTGAAATAATTAGAGCCGGTTAATAATGAATACTACCATTTCAGAATCAATGTCATATATTACGGATCATAAAAATATAAGTTACTGCATTAATAATAAAAAAATCCGAGTTACAAAATCGAAAATATTTATGACATAAATCGAAAATCAAGTATATATATTGATATGGTCAAAATTCTTTTATTTTAAATTGATATATTTACCATACATGGACATAATTAAAATAAATCACATTTAATTCTATAAATTTAAAATATATAAATGATTGATTAACAATGTATTAATGATTTATTACCTTTATAATTTCATAAGAATGAGTATCTAAATTAACAATGTATTAATGATTCATTCCATTCATTTACATAGTATTATTTCATTAATATGATAATGCATTAATAAAATAAATTAATGTAAAATTATAAAACTATATTATTATATTGTTTTAATTTTTTTAATATAATTATAAAAGAAAACTAATTCCGAAAATATATTATTATAAAAACTTGAGTGTCCTAAATTTATTTAAAACGTGAGATTTAAAAGATTTGAATATTATTATAAAAAAATCTTAAATTCAAAAATATATATGTAAAATAAAAAAAATTGAGTATTCATACTAAATTCAAAAAATATATTTCAGAAAATTGAAATTATAAAAAAGATAATATTTTTCCAATTTATAGAATATTGAATTCATGATATATATATATATATATATATATATATATATATATATATATATATATACACACACACACACACACACGGAGAGTAAATGTTTAAATAAGTGTATAAATGTTAAATAGGAAATAACTTAAATACATACCAAAATAAAATTGACAACTCACCAATTGAAGAATCCACTTCATCAATTGAACTCCAACTAAGCAATTTTGATAAATGACATTATCATTTACCACATGTCAATCATTGAGGGCATAAATCCTCTTTTTATATTATATATAGATAACACAATCTTTGAAACATACAAACTATTATTAAAAATGCCACTACTTCCATTCAGTGTTATTTTGCTTCAAAAAACAAACGTTACCAATGCCTAATTTACACACTAGAGATGCAGAACTCACAATGTGTCGACCACAACAACAGACCAAAAATTACACAAAAAAAAAGGACATAAAATTAAACCCAACTTTTCTCGATTACCGTTCTCCCGACATGCGTTGTTCGTTACTTTTCTCTTAGTCCATGATTTTCTCTGCATTTGAATTTTTATTTATTTTTCACATCAAGATATATAACTTTTAAATATCACATAGAAATGTACCTTGATTTTGATAGCAACAAGAAAATTGTGACATTTGCATAAGCTTTGCATCTTCAAGTAGTTTAACTAGTTCGCGGTTTCCCCCTACACGAGCTTCGTCTACCGGAGTTCTTCCCCATCTAAGAGAGGGACAAATACGTAAATTCTTGAATATAACAATACACACACACACACACACACACACACACACACATATATATATATATATATATATATATATATATATGATTGAAATTGCATTTTCTTATTTTTTTTTTATTTTTTTTAATGATTGAATACCTGTCTGTTGCAAAGACACTGGCCCCTGTTTCCACAAGTAGAACACACTCTGCATAAGAGCCTTGTGATGCAGCTAAATGCAGAGGTGTTCGAAGATCGTAATTCTTGGAGTTCGGATTAATGCCGTTGGCCAAAAGCCTCGTCAGAAAACCGAACTCCTTTCTTGCAACTGCCTCACAGAGAAGATTTCCAGCGTTCTCGACCGTTGATAATGTGGCCCCCGCTTCTGCCAATGCAGATGAAATGCTATCGTGGCCGTTCTTAATTGCTTCAAACAAGGCCGTCTTTCCGGAATCATCTAGAAGAACAGCGTAAACACTTAGAAGCAAGCAATTATTGCATTTAGCACCCATGTGTTATACAAAATTGCTAAAAACTCCCCGTGTTATAAATATGTGATGCAAAATTTTTTTTTTATAGCAAATTACCCCCTAATTCACCGTTTAGGGGGTTGTGTGCTAAAATAAATATATGCATCTATCAGGTTGTTGTTATCGTTGTTAATATTATGGTGAATTACGGTCACTTTGAGGTAATGTCAAATTACGAAAAAATCCCTCATTTTTTGGTAATTACAATATTCTGTCAACTATGAATTTTCTTGCACGTCCCAACAGAATCTTCTAGATTCCGTGGAAAGTTCTTTAGTTTGTACTCGTTTTTTGCAAAAATGCAGTTTCTTAAGCATTACAATCTGATATATACAAGCCAAAAAATACATCTAATTATGATCATTTTGCTTCAAAATGTGGAACTCGAATGGAATAAAACGGGTACAAAATTGAGAATATTTAGAAGATTCCACTAAATTTGACACCGCAAAGACGGACGTGTAAGAAGATTCATAGTTGAGGGTGATTGTAATTACCCAAACAAAATGGGCATTTTCATAATTTAATCTTAGCTCAGAGTGGCCGTAAATTACCCTAGTATTTATAATACGGGTATTTTTTAGCAATTCCATATAATACACTAACTACTAAATGCAAGAAACTCGATAAATTTTACCTCTAAGATTGACGTCCACCTTTCTTTCGATCAGGAACCGAACGATATCTTCGTGGCCATTTGATGCAGCACGATGCTGAGAGGAAATAAACGACGCCCCATATTAGTCGAAAATAAGGATATAATTCATTTTGATATTAGGATATATGCTAGACTCGATGAAATATACACCAGGCATTTAAATAATACCAGAGGCGATTGTCCGTTATAATCCGTCTTATTCGGATCAGCTCCCGCTTCGAATAAACGTCTTAGTGCACGCAAATCTCCGTCATTAGCAGCAAAATTCAGCCTCGTAGCTGATTCCATTTCGCGTTTCTCGATCCGCACGACCATTGTAGATTCCGATATTTTATTCCTAAGATTATCCTCTCTTCCCTGAATATACATAACAAGAAATCGACACTTCAAATTTTATATTTTTAACTTTTCACAAGTTAAGGAAGCACAAAGACGAAAAGCCGATCAACCTCAAGCAAATTATCGATTACGGTACGTCCGTCAGAAAAGTACGTCTCGATAATTTCTGTAAGAGCTTGCTTGTCTATACGTAATAGCTTCGATAGTTCGGTAGTTTGGACCGTACGAGGTTCCGGGATGTCACATAGAACAGAAACATCGCCGATCGAACTGTAAATTTGTATACTAGGAACGTGTCCTAACCGAGTCTCCTCGTGATTTCTTACTCCATCCTAAGAAGTCGAAAATTATTCAAAAGTTTCATATGATTATTAAATTTAAAAATAAAAAGAAAAAGAAAAAGAAAGAACATACCAGTTTACCATCATAAAGAAAATAAAGATGATCACTATTACTCCCTTCTTCGACAATCACTTCCCCGGGAAGAAAATACTCTTCGTGTACGTTGATCGCCTAAATATAATTGGGAGTGAATAAAACTAGTTATTTTCGTTACATACGATAAACGAGACTATATAATAATGTTGAATAAATGTATATATCTTACTACTTTCTTGATGAACTCATCCGAGCAACCTTTGAAAAGAGGAACTTCTCGAACATAAGGTTCGTATAATTTGTTCGATATCTGCATAGCCAACATCGTTACGCAAAAACACCAATGTAATAAAATAAACTATTTTGTAATAAAATTTATTTATATATTCTCGAAAACCTTGGCTCGTAAAGCAAGTGGAAGATCGCGAAGAGCAGCTGCATCGGTGTAACTGCTAGGGGTGAGCAAGTCGGACCCATCAACCCGCTACACCCGTCAAACCCGTGAAAAACCGCCCCGTTGGGACCGGACGGATAGATCCATCCATAGGATTGGGTCCTAAAATGGTGAAGAACCGTGGGTTTGGGTCTTAGACGGGTTCAATTTTTTTTAATACCCGTGAAACCCGTCCCGCTCCACCATACAAAACGACGTCGTTTTGTTTACATTATATAGTATAATAAATTAATAATATTAATGAATAAATAAAGTATCTCTAGTGTATCAAATACATAAATCAACTAAACTATAATTGTGGAAGTAATAGCTATAAAGATTATGAAAATCTCTAAGAAAATGTAGGAAAAAAAGCATATATATACAACGGTCAACACACGGCAGAAAAAAAGGAAGAAAATGGTGTTGAATGGAGCTGAATAGCGTTGGTTATGCTTGAAAAAACTATATTTATTTTATTTAAATTTTGTCTTTTAAGTTATGAATTAGTTATTTTTAGTTTTATATTAATTTTTATTTACTCTTGACATTTACATTATTTATGTTTGGTTTCAATTTAAAATTTTAGGTTATTCATTTTAGTTTCTAATTATGCTCCCGTAAAACTTATAAATTATATATAAAAAAAATAGTTTAGACGATAACGGGTTTCGACCCGTAAAGGTTGGGTCCTACTACAAACCCGCCATGGACCCGCCTATCATAAACCCGTGAAAAACCCACAAGTTCGGTTCTTCAAAATGAAGAACCGTTGTTTGACGGGACGAGGGCGGGTTTTGATAGAACCCGCGGGTTTATGGCCCGCGCACACCCCTAGTAACTGCTCTCGTACTGCAATCGGACGTGCCCTTTGATCTCTTGGCTAATGTTCTTTCCCAGCTTGTTTTTGTTCATGTATTTGATGAGTTCTCCCATTTTATCCCTAAACTTTTCGGTTTTCGATCCTTTGACGATTAAAGCCGTCATGTTTCCGAGTAGATAAGCACCAAGAATCATGTCGAACGAAACGTAAACCATCACGAATATCATTTCCCTCGTATTTACAGCATGAATTTCACCATAACCTGCACCATACATTTTGCCTTGAAGTTGTTAAAAAAAAAATCGAGTGTTTGAAAGTAGTGGGCCTAAGCGTGGAAATCGGAACTGAAACTCCGAATTTAGCTGCTTCAGATCTGAATATTTTCGATTTTGGAAGAATATATATTTTTCATTTCGAATACTGAAAGTTCCAATTTCAGATTTTTTTTTTCTGTGATCAAAATTGGAATACATACCAATCCGATTTTAATTTCCGAAAATTTCGATTGTTTTTAGGAAATTACACTTAAAATATCAATATTTTTTTGCATCTTTATATTATAAGTGACTAAAAATTTGGAATTTCCAAATACGCTAATTCTGATCCAAAATTTTCCGATTTTGGAACAAGTTTTTTTAATTCCAATTTCCAAAATTTTCAGATTTCCACCTTAGTAGTGGCAGAGGCAGCATAGGACCGAAGGGGTAACGCCCCCACAATCTAGTATCGTGGGTCCCACTAGAATTACTTTTAGTATATATTTAACAATCGCGAATTCGAAAAAAAAGAAAGGAACATTTAGTTCGCGGACGAGATGAAAATGAGCTTACCAACGGTTGCCATTGTAACAACTGCAAAGTACAATGCGGTTATATAGCGCGTCCAAAGATCGATGTGTCTGAAATTCTCGTAACTATAATCGCCTAACTGCAAACTTCCGATCCAAGTATTGCCTTCCTCCGACGGAGGCAGAGTAGTCGCCAGATAGTAAAATACGCAAGCTGCAGTGTGAGTACAGTACAATTCAACCACGAAAAGCTTTATAATTCTCGTAAATAGATAGTTGATACGTATGTCTTTTTCCAGCTTCTCGAAGAATTCCGTAACCCTAAGCGCCCGGCTTAGCCTAATCCACAGCATATACCTCACCGGTTCCTTTCTTCCACAAGCCTGATCAAGTTTATACAGTAAGGCCTCGTTTGGTTGCCAAGATAAGATTAAATAATCTAATGAAACCCGATTATATTATTGGACATTCGATGATTCAATAAAAAAAACATACCTAGAAGGCAAGATAAGCTATGATAATATAATATTTTGCGGGTCGACCCATCAAGTTATAGCGGATACCAAACATCAAACAAATTAAAGTCCTATTATTTAGTTAAGGGCACATTACGGCGCCACCCCCTAAGTTATGGTCAAATTATAAAAATCCCCCTCCTATTTGGGTAATTACAGCCACCCCTCAACTATGAATTATCTTACGAAAATACCCCTCCGGAAATTTAGGGATGTTAAATCGGTAAAACCGAACCGAAATTTCGGTACGCCAACATTTCATACTGTTTACCGAACTGAATATACGATTTGGTTCGGTAAATAACCGAATTACCCAAACAAAAGGGTTTTTTTTTTCGTAATTTGGCCATATATCTCAGGGTGGCCGTAATTTGCCCTTTAGTTAATCATGACTAATCCTAATAAGAAGGAATTTTATTCTGACAATTTGAAATACTTACGAGTTATAGGAGAACCTCGATAAATTACCTCGATTAAATAATAGTTTCTCCCAGTCCCGACTCGGTGAAAATGTGTGAAATTATTAACTCGATAATTTAATAATTCGCTAAATTAATAGAATTCCCTGATCCCGAATCTATTAATTTATAGAGGTTTACCATTAGAAGAGAATATTGGTGTTTTACCTTGTATATGGCATCCCATGGCAAACAGCCCAGAAGATCGACCGGAAATCGAGATTTCAGGTACCTACATTAATACGATCGAGTTTTTTCAAGAAAGTGAAATTCGTAAAAAAAAAAAAAAGATCTCGATCGATAAATGGGCTGACCGAATGGCGATGCGGGTGCGGTCGTCGACCATGCAGTGAGAGTGGGGGTCTCTAAACCCGACGAAGAATGAGAGGATAATGTCGATGAGGAAAGTGAATTGGCCGGCGATATTGAGAAGGAAAAGATTCTCCGGCAGGCCTCGGAAGAAGGCGAATTCGAGTGGGGTGAAGAAGGAAGAGTACACTGCCCATATCAGAATGAAGTGTGTCCATGCAATGTACCACCTGCATTTTGTATACTTATATATATAATATATACTTATACATGGAAATTGTTAATGTTTATGTATATCTATATCTATAATTATATTTTATGCAGTTTATATAAATACAATTACTTTCTTAAATTTATAAGATATATAAACGTATTTTGAACACTTGCGAAAAATTTCGAAAATTTCCTCAACTATTCCAAAACTTATAAATACGAAGATTATGAAAATTCGGAAGCTTTCCAAATTCAGAATGGATTTCTAAGTTTCCAAATTTTTGGAATCCAAATTAAAAGTCATTTTTCTACTTCCGGAAAAAAAAAATACCCCCCCCCCCCCCCCCAAAAGTATCCAAAAATGGAGAATTTCCAATATTTTTTAGCCGAATTTTCACCCCCTACCCTTAAACCCAAAGGGGATTCAAA